GAGAGAGAGGGAGAGAGACAGAGGGGGAGTATAAAAGCAGGACTCAGACTTCAGCAGCTCTGAACTTGAGAGGAACTGTGACCGGATTAAAAACCTTCCAGTGATTTAGTTTTGTTCCTCTGAACTCTGATGAAGAGTGAAATGATTTCACCCTCTCACAGACAGATGTGATGGTGATGGAGAGGCCGCTCTGTGAACCGTTTCTTCTTCATTCCTCGGATGTTTAAATTGATGAATTAGTGTAAAATGCTGCGGGTGAAGTGAATAAGATGAAGAGGAGGAGGCAGAAACCTGTCGTCTGATCGTCGGATAGCTGCCGCTGCCGCTGCCGGAGATGGAGCCGCTTTTATTTTCCCGGAGGCGAGACACGCGAGCGGTGGATGAATATCTGGGCGGTTTCAGGGCGATCTCCGGGCTTTGCTTTGAGCTCAATGACAGGGGCGTCTGACGAGGGACCGGTGGAGAGGGATGGAGCATGCCAGTGTCGTCTACGGAGAGCTGTTGAACATCTCCACAAACTACACCCATGGCAATGTCACGTCGAAAGAGGAGGAGAAGGACAGTAACATGGCTCTCCAGTGGGGTCTGGCCGTGACCTTAACCCTCATAACTTTGGCCACGACGCTTTCCAACGCGTTCGTCATCGCCACCATTTACCAGTCCCGAAAGCTGCACACCCCGGCGAACTTTCTGATCGCCTCCCTGGCCGTCACGGACCTGCTGGTGTCCATTTTGGTGATGCCCATCAGCGCGCTGTACACGGTCAGCCAAACCTGGACTCTGGGGCAGGTGGTGTGCGACATCTGGCTGTCCTCGGACATAACCTGCTGCACGGCGTCCATCCTCCACCTGTGCGTAATCGCGCTGGACCGCTACTGGGCCATCACGGACGCGGTGGAGTACACCAAGAAGCGCACGATGGGGCGCGCCGCCGGCATGATCGCCACCGCCTGGGTGATCGCCATCTCCATCTCCCTGCCGCCTTTCTTCTGGCGCCAGGTGAAGGCGGAGGAGGTGACGAGCTGCAACGTGAACACCGACCACATCTTCTACACCATCTACTCCACCTTCGGCGCGTTCTACATCCCCACGCTGCTGCTCATCGCCCTGTACGGGAGGATTTACGTGGAGGCACGGAAGCGCATCCTGAAGCAGTCGCACAACAAGCCGGGGAAGAGGCTCACCTCGGCGCACCTGATCACCAACTCCCCCGGCTCCGTGGCGTCCACGACCTCGCTGAACTACGGGACGAACGACGCCTCCTCCTGCGACACTACCTCGTCCGCCAACGTGCAAGTCAAAGTCACTGTGTCCGACGCGCTGCTGGAGAAGAAGCGCATCTCCGCAGCCAGAGAGAGGAAGGCGACCAAAACTTTGGGAATAATCCTGGGAGCCTACATCATCTGCTGGCTCCCGTTTTTCATCTACACCCTTCTAGTGCCTGTCTGCGAGTCCTGCTTCCACCCGGAGCTATTTGACATTTTCACCTGGCTGGGTTACCTCAACTCTCTAATCAACCCCATCATTTACACCATGTCCAACGAGGACTTCAAGCAGGCTTTCCACAAACTAATAAGGTTCAGATGCTTCGGGGCATGAGCGACGACCACCAGCCATGATTACCCCCCCCCCCCCAAATCCTCTAATCATCTGTGTACAATTGAATCAAACCCATCAGCCACAGATATTTCCCTCCCCAGGTTTGCCCCCCTGAGGACAAGATATCCAAACACCCACATTGTTTATGATAATGTGGCTGCAGAGATGCATTGACCTGCCATCCAGTCTGCATCGTGTCATCATGTGATGGCAGAAGAACGGCTGCTATTAACAAGACCATTGGAATAAAAAAAGAGAAACAGCCTGGTGAGGATGTTGGAAGCTGCAGACTGGTTTGCAGGTGATAATGTTGTTATAATGACTTGGAGAAAGCCCGTACCCCCCCCCCCCCCCCCCCCCCCCTGTACGTGCTGCACTGGACTGCAGCCTGCAGACTCACTTTGCCATAAGAGTTTGACAGTCAACGTCAGTTGGCTTGTAAGCACAAACAGCTTAGGACTAAGCTACCACGAGCCCAAAGGGCAAAAAAAACAAAAACACAAGATTTATGTTTAATTTTCCTGACTCAATAAGGGGAAATACTGGTGCCTAAACACGCTTCTTTCGTTTTGTTCCTCAGACGTGCCTGGCCCCAGATGGAGAGAAGAGCATGGTTTTAGTTTGAGACAAAGAAAAAGACAGATTTGGTTTTGTTCTCGTAGGCCAGTGTATGTTCTATTGCTTCTTTTTCTTGCTGTGACTGGTGTTCACTCTAACACAAAGGCTCCAAACTGAGTGTAAATGTACGAATCTGTATCCATCAGTGTGGTTTTGACTTTAATTTGCTGAAGAGTCTGGATGTCGCTCAGCCGAATGCTGTAAAATAGTGCAACGTGACCGTCTCTGAGGGAATGAAGAGCCAGTGTTGTAAAAAAAAAAAGCCACTCTTATCCACCGGCCCTCTTGTTAAAGATGCATTCTTAAATGTTGATATGAGCTTCGATGTTCCATTTCATGTCAGGCTAAGCAAACAACTCCAAATCCAAGACCCCGAAGAAACAACAAACAACTAAAACCTATAAAAAGTGTAGAAGATGATTTTTAAAATGCTGGAAAATGTTATTCTGATCCAAATCACCGGCTCCTTCCACCAGACCGCCACATGCTAAATGTCAAGCTGTAGCTGCTGCTGATCCCTTCAAGGAAAACTGAAAGAAGAATCTCTTTAGAAAAAAGATGCAAGAAGTGCAACAGCAACAAAGTGCTGGAGATGGAAATCATCAGGACCGCAGCTACAGTACCGCTGAGGACACCGAGGTTCTGTTCTGGAGGTTTTAATAACATGCATGAACACACACAGATTAAACATGGTGAGTCTCTAAAGGCTAATTCTTTCTTTCTTTAGCTTCAAAATTCTAAAATGTGATCGTTTTTTAGGCCCAAAAACTAAATGAAACTGAAGGGAATCATCAGAAGTAACGGTAGAGAAGCCATAAATAAGATTTCATGAAATATAATTTAAAAGTAAAAAGAAATATATTAAATATAGAGAAAATATTTTAGCAATAATTTAGCAAATTTTGATCTCAGAAACTAGTTTTAAGGAATCGTGTTTATTATTGAGGCTTTCTTGCTGAGAGTTTGATGCAACAATTAAAACCTGTCTCATGTCGAAGCAGCAGAACCACAAATATCTTCTTTTATTACACACGTTCTTCCTGGCGCCTACATTACCCACAATGCAGCTCGAACGCTGACATCACTCGAGGACCTTTATCAGACTTGAACTCCTTAAAGGCTTTTAAAACATACACAGTAGAACGCTGCGTCACCTGGAAACACAGGTTCCCTTTAAGTGTTTAGCTAGAGACAATTAGCTTAGCTTAGCATAAACACTGGAAACAAGTGGAAAGTTAAAAAAAATACACCTAGCAACACTGTGACATGTTTCATTTACTGAGCTTTAGATGTGTTGGTAGGTGTATTTTAAACTTTGGACGCAGCTAGGCTAGCGGTTTCCAGTCTTTATGCTAAGCTAAGCTAACCGCCTGGTGACTCTAGCTTCTTAACATGCAGACATGAGAGTGGTATCAATTAGCTCATCGAGTCTTAGCAACAAAAGCCAAAAAATGGACCCCAAATATATTTTTAAAAAACAGTTGAGAAAATGCATTTGTTATTAAAGTTTATGAGGAAAAAAACAAAAGACAGCTGCAGGGACTTTGTTGCACCAGTAAAAGAGTCTCGCTGTCATTTCCCCCTCACCACATCAAAGATGGCTGCCAGATGACCACACTGGCCTCATCTCGTCGTGCAAAGCGACTTTCTTTGATTCTTTATTTTTTGAATCTCCAGCAGCCATGTTGGATATCTAAGGCTGCAGCTCCGTGGTGGATTTGCCTCTTTGTGTTCAGTATTGATCCGCTCAGTGTGAAACTCTTCTGGTGGCTCCGTCGATCTCATCCAGGTTAGCTTCTGCTGTACAACGCTTCTGCACACATCAGGCGATGCACTGTAACCGCTCTGCTCTGGAGGATCAGATACAACCCACTCGAGAGCACACAAGAAATGAGCACTGCTGCTGTTGTGAAAACTGAAAAAAATAAACAAATGAATAAAAAGGTCTATGGCATCATGAGGTTGGTGAAAGTTTGCCCACATTCTCATTTTTTCCTGATTCTGAGGCGAAAGCGCTGACATTTCCTCTATCGGCGTGAGGATCTGCTGGTGTTCGGTCCGCTTGGTGATAAACGCTTCACAGATGTGAGCTGACGGCTTTAACGACGGCTTTCTAACTTAATTAACCGGCAGGGGGAAGAAATCTAACTATGAGGAAAATGTCAGTGACGAATGCCTAATGAGACGCACGGATTGTACTTATGTGCACAACACAGGGTGTTACAGGGGAGGTTTGCTTTTTGTTGCATTGGAGACCGTATGTGCTCTGGTTTAACGCTGTAATGTCCCTTTTCAACACTGCATAGCAGTTCTAAGTGTGTTTTAAGTGAGAGCTGTGTTCAGACTGGAGAAATGACAACACTGCAGAGACTGTACAGAAATGCCCTCACAGTGAGCAGCATGAGAAAAACTAATTGCAGATGTTTGACATCTTCAGAAGGATTTAGACAAACCAAAAACGAGTTTTCAATCCTTTGCTCTCTCTTTGAAGAGTTGAATTGAAAGAGAAGTTCAATCTAACAGTGAACTATTACAGTTAGTGTCAGTGTGAGTCGACCGCTCTGTGGGATCCAGAATGTCACGGTGTTATATCTGAGACACCTTTTTCACCAAAGTGCATGCTGGATCCTGAGTGAGGTCAGGTTCAGGCTCAATAAAGGAGAGGTGGTCCTTCTTGTTAAATGCTAAAACAAGGAAACGTCTTTTGTCACCGCAGACCTTCGGTTCGTCCAAATCAAAGTGATATTTGGTTCCTTTTCTATCGAGTCCGGTTCGGTTTCACAGCAATCAAATATTTTTACATTTTTAGAGTTTCAATTGAGTTTGAATTTCAGACTTTTGAAATCTTGCTGTTTTACTTCATAATCGTCTGTTTTTTATGTGGAATGTATTCTGCATATTCTGTATGTTCTCTACGGTCCAGATGTTAAGAAAACATCCGACTTCTGCAGAAGTCAAAGTCAGTCTTCTCCCGCTCACGCTAACCTGTTTTCATCTGCCTGTGTTCATCTCAACAAACGCCCTCAGCGTCTCCGTCTCGGGGCATCAAAGGTTCCCCGTCGAGTTTTCTTGTAAAGAAATTGTTTCTGTTTCTCGTCAAATGATTTTCTGCGTCAAACAAACGAGTTGATTGTATTTAATTCCTCTTAAATATTTGTAAAGCCGACTTTTAAACGTAATTTTAGTCCCGTTTACATCCGCGTTCACTAGCTAGCAGTTAGTTAAACCGCTGGCTCGTATGTCTGTGTGTCGGGTCACCTTTGAGCTCACAAGACCTGCTCGTAAGATCACTGCTCTATAGCGCCGCCAGTGGTGATAAACTCCACACGGTGCCTTCAGTATTCAACCGAAAGAAAAACATCTTTCCTAAACTTTAACCAAGAGCATTGAGACTCAAAAGAGAACAAAAAAACATGCATCAGTAATCTCCTGAAACAGCTGCTAAATGTAGTTCTTTTATCAAACAAACTGGAGGAAATATTGCAATTGTTGGGGGACTATTTTCTGCGGCGGATTAATCCACATTTGGTGCTCTAGTGAGTATTTGTGTTTGGGATTGAGCTCACTGATGTGTTATTGATGGAGCTCTATGAGCTCTCAGGCTGTGATTCACACAATACCTGTCAGAAGATGCATTCACTGCTTTTTGTGGGATTTGTTGACAAAGTATTTAGCATCACCAGATTTCTTCTCATCAATAACAAGTTTGTAGGATCGTGAAGCAGAGCTAGAAGCTCTCAGCGTGCTACATTTCTTGCTATCTTCCACCAAAACATTGTGTCGCCGTCACTTTCTTAAAACAAATGGTGGATATCTTGATTTTAAATGCGCCAGCATGTTGAAACGGCTCAGACAAAAAAGAAAAATCCCTCAAATCTTCATCCCATTAGAAACGCGCTCCTCTCAGAGACTGAGGCGAAAGCCTGAGGCGATGTCATTCTTTCCTTTTGTCAAAAATTAATATTGTTGGCTCCCTTTGAAATCGATCAGACCGCTGTGGCCCCCTGATTACCGTTTCCATGGTTTGATGCTCGGCTAAACCATGGCAACACGGGCCCTGCTGGAAGCGTGTCGTGCTGCAGAAGCCAAATCAACACATTGACTGGAATATAGATGAAGCCGGAGAGCCGATGTTACCTGTTTCTCAAACACTCAGGGGATTTATTGTAAAACCAGACGCTACATGTTATTTAAGGTGCAGATAATTCAGGATTTTTGGCTGAATTTCGGTCCTGCTGTCAAGGAAACACGAATCTAAACGTCACACTTGTGATGTTGTAACGTCTAATTATCCAGTCTGCTGTGTAGGAAATGATTTAGGACGTGATTTTAAGGACAAACGTGAAGACGAGCTTTATTTTCACGGTGGAAATGTTCAACCCTGAACCAGAAAACGTCCTCTGATACTTTAATCAGCCTCCTCTTCTCTGAGCTTCACCAGCGTTCACAGCTCATTGTGTGCAGAGCAGCCGCAGCTTTTCTTCCTCTCGATGGTATCACACTTTTCATTTTTTTGCTCTCTGGTGTTTTGGCCTTGAAAGCGACGGTGACAACACAGTCCCACGCTGCATGAAGCTGAATGTGAGGATTGTTAAAGTGGATCCTTTCACATTTCCATCAGTTTTTTTATTGTATAAAACTGCAAAAAGAAAGTCTCTCTTATCAAGTCATTTCCATCTATGGTTGAAAAAGTCTATTTCTGCAGCTTTCCACT